TTTGACACATAAGACAACACAAGCTTTGAGGATGGGAGGGAGATTCGACCCCACTTCCTTACCCACCTCTATAAACTTGCCCTTATCACTCCTGTCCCTGGAACTGCTGCGCTTTGTTGCCTCGGAGAGTGGTTGACAGTTGGCAAAGTCGTTTACCAAATTTATGTCCTCACGCCTGTCTACGTCGCATCTGCTGCTCTGTCCTTCTAAGTCCGGGGTTCAAATGTTGGATGGAGAGTTACCATGCCAACCAAATCATGCGCAGGTGGTGAGGATGTCACCATTTGGATTTATCATTCGCCTATTTCTGAAATCGGTACGAAGATTTGTTTCTTTATGACAGGACATTTCAGTGGAAAAGGGATAGAGCTAAGCTTTGTGGAAAATTTCCCCTAGTACTTTCTTCATCAACGTCTTTAATATTACCGCCTTTACCTGGGAATGAGTATATGCAAGACAAAGAAGGCTAGTTGTGAGTTATTCTCATCCTTGGACTTAGATCTACATTCTAATGTATGGAGCATCCAACTTGGTGAACTCTGCACAAGAATGAAGAGGGGCTATGTAATGCGTTCATTGTTTGCTTAACTCCCGTTTTTTAGTCAAGGGCCACTTGGAGACTCCACCGGGTGACCTGGCTATCGGGCCATTCCAGTAGCCCCTCAGCCCTTCTGTGCGTCGATACGACACATTCTGCCTAAGTAGTATATCCCCTTTCGTCTTCTGAGAAGGCTTTAAGCGCAAGAGTAGAAGGTTCAGCTATATTTCCCTTCTGTGTGCGGTCTTGTTTAATTAATCGTTCAGTGCCATCGAAATGACAAGACATCAAAAATTGCTGCATCTAATTCGCGCCTTGTTTGATATGCATTTACCTTCAGTGCGGTCACTTTCATTTCTGTCATTTTCATTAGTAAATCGACCTACTGAAATGAAACTTTTCCTCAGCCCTGGCAACAATCATTCCCTGTAGTCTGCAATGCACTGGGTACTAGATGTAGCTGAAAGTAAGTCAAATTCTAGCTGTAGCATAATTCACCTACTTGTCAAGAGGCACCAAAACTCGTTTCCATTCCAGAAATAGTAATGTTGCTTTCCCACAGTGTAAAAAGGAGCATTCCAAGCTTGGTGTCAGAGTTGTTCACTCGGAAACTCGGTACCTGGGATGTTGGGATATTTTTAAGGTCAATATACGATAACCGCATATTAATATCCCTCAATAAATAAATGCATAAATTTTCCCATTAGTTATTTAGAATGTTGTATAGCGCCCCGAGGCTTCATTGAGTACAAAAAAGACATAATACTGGAGCCAAACAATGAGCTTTTGATGTACAGTTGGACTTGAGGCCACTAGCATGAACCAGAGGACAGGCCACCCAGGAGTGGTGTAATGGCGGAGCCCCTAAGTGGACTATTACCAAAACTGAGAGTTAGGCAAACGCCTAAAGCATTACACAATTTTTAGTAGTGTTTGAGTGACGTGAGCTTGAACCAACCAGTCCTAATATTGGTGTTCAAGGCGGAATGATCTGACCTGATGTGCACAACTCGCTATGCAGGCATGCATGCACACCGACGGCACATACATGCACACGCACAGAGCGGGACTTGAACTTTGTCCTCTCTCTTCTCTCTTCGTCTCTGCATGCATGTGTGTGTGTGTGTGCGTGCGTGCAAGGGGTAAACAAATAATGCCACGAAAGTGCTTCCACTTGATCCCCACCCCTTTGGTGGCTCTTCCAACGTCGACCAAACTCATTTCGCTTCGCTTCTTGCAATGATTAAGGGCTGGAATAAGGCGTATTCAATAGTGCTCGGCTGCTTCAAGCACCAGTGCTCATTTCCACATGCATAGATATTTAAAGCTCCCATTGTTTAAGTTTTTCAAGTAAATAATCGACAATTGTTGCATTTATTCAGACAAAAATGGCAGGAGCCTCGACAAAGAGAAAACTAGCAAAGCATATTTTTGTGTCTATTATTAATGTAATACGTTGGTTGTTTGTTTAACCCTCGGTTTCAGAAACGGGCTAATGAGGGGATCCGCCGTACAGCCTGGATTCTGGACCATGCCTGTAACCTACAGGCCCTTCTGTACATCAACAGTACATTATTATGCTTGAGTATTACAACTCCTTTCGGCTTCAGAATAGTCTTGGGGCGCTACATTGGCGTCAGCGAAAAGCGAACCTTATCCCAAAGAACAACTATCCCGATTTCAACTGCTGGGTAATAAACCCTAGCGGGGTGGAAGAAGTTCATGCGCTGTGGATGGGAGAATATGTGACAATCCCCAACAGAAGGATCGAAAATGACGTCCACCTTCGGCAACTACCCCACGCCCGTGCTCTGTAGCAAAGCTAGTAACAACCGAAGCAACACTAGCCTTGGCTGTGAACTATCTAGAAAAAATTTTTTACGGAATTGGTCCCTTTTAATTACGTAAACATTTAAAAGTATTTTACAATGAAATGGGATTTCAGCCTAGTCTGCCTTTTGGCTGCGTGTTAATAATTGATGCAAATGAAAGCCCCCAATCACTTCGGCTGGAATATTGGACTCAGACGCTAGCATAAAGTAAAAAATAAGTGATGATTTTATACTATTATGCTGGGGACTTTTGTGAGCGGACCAAAGGTCACTTTGATGCTCGAAAATCCTACAGTGGTTTTGAGAGATTAGACGGCTCTTCGCATTTTTTGGCAAGGATTTTGTGTCATCCAGAGACTTCCTTGAAGACAGTAGTGGACATGCTACTCGGGCAGTATATGTAATGTCGACACACAGAATGGATTGGGGCTACTGGGATGGCCCGTAAACCAGACCACCTGGGGGGTACAATGGCATAACCCCTGATTTGCCCTTTACCAAAACCGGAATTGAAACAAACAATTAACGTACTGCAGATTCCTTCGAGTTATTTTTTAACTACCTCCTTCTTCAAACAGTATTTGTCACCAAATTGAATGAATGAATGCCCTGTCGTTTTCCATAACTAAGCACACATCTACCCTCGCCTTTACGCATCCACCTGTAGTCACTTAAACCCAAATACCGGAAACGGCAAGCCGACACACAGATTTCCTTTTACACTCGGAGGAGCTTTGACGAACAAGTGCTCAACCATGAGTTTGGTGCTTTTCCCATGAGTAAATTTGTTTAGGCAGGTGGCAGTCTGTCATCAATGTTGCCTAGCCTCGACCTCCGCCATCTCGCCTCATTTATGATGGTGTCAGGCCACGCTTCTGTTAATGCGTGTGGAAATGAACTAGTTGGAATGAATTTCAGTCGACCACTTTCCAAAGCATGTACAGAATTAAATTTTAAAGTGAAGTTTTGCAAAGGTAACACATTTGAAATCTTAAAGGTACACCGCCCTTCGCTTCATGTGTTAATTTCAATTCTTCTCAACATCGTCCCACACATGAAAACCCCTCTCCGTGTTTGTGTTGCGGCGTTAGTCGGGCACTGACTAACATTAGCAGCACCTCATTAATAAGACGGGAAGAGTTAAAGGTTTCCGCTTCAGGAGGATCTTCCCCTGAGACATAAATATGCATAAATTTCAGGTTTAGTCACGTTCACTGTGTCTATGACTGCTATATATTTATTTGTTCAACTCGCAAGTATTTTTTGTATCATATCCGTACCATTATTGCAGCGCTTTCAGCATTTTTTTAAGGAATCGTAAGGCTATGCTGCTGACCCTACAATATTTTATTACCAGCATTCTCTAGTGGAATGATGATTGGCTTCATTTGCATGATTTCGGTTTCTGCCCAAACAAAACAAAGAAAAGTGGAGTGCAATATAACGTAAAATCTTGCCTTCATTATTCAAAATCACTAATGAATGTACCAAGTTCACTGATTAAGCAATCCGGCTGATTGGCAAAGTGCAGTCTCAAATTCGGACGGCAGCACGTGGCAGTTTGTATCTTACTTGTTTAACTATTACTCCTGCGAGACTTCCAGTAGTGCATATAATTACTGACATGGCCCAGAGTTCAGGCCCTCCGGCTGACGAGCGTGGTGGGGCTTTCAATGCTCACATCATCGAAACGCAGAGTTAAACGAG